GTGTGTGTGTGTGTGTGTGTGTTAAAGTTTGTGTGTATGCACGCACATGTGTGTGTGTGTGTGTGTTGTTGTTGTTGCAGGTGGTGGAGAGACTGGGGTTGGGGCAGAGGAAAATGTAGAGTAAAAAGAATAATCCTGTTTTCGTATATTATGTTGTTTCGCTTTTTCCCCTTGTCCTGTCGACATAGTTGCTGCTATCGCTCGTTATTACATTTCTGTATATTGACAATGATTGTCTTTCTCTCAATAAACATGGGCAGACAGAATGATTGTCAAGAAAAAGAAAGAACTTTATTACCAGAAAAGTCATTTGTTTGGTCTAAGAAGGACAACGACTGGCATAAATTTGACATGCAAAGAGATAACAATTAATTATTGTAGCGTATTTTGGTCGGTGTGTAATTTAAAAAACATCTAAGGAAAAACATATGCCCACTCCTACCATCACCTGACGTCCCCTAACGCCCCCCCCCCCCCAAACCGCATCCCCGTTCCCCTGCACGATTTAATCTCCACGCATTTTTCTCAAGGCGGATGAAGTTAGTCACAGCAGCACTGGTCGTTACGGAGGGATGGCAATAGTGAGATGATGCATTTTCCTCCTCCGTTTCCCTACTATGATAAAATCGATAATCAAAAATTAGAAGAAAAAAACAACAACATTTAAAAAAGTACTCCCTCCCCCCCGCCCAGATAAATCGTGAGGTACAAAATCCATATAATTGTATAAAAATGTTGAAAATGAGGATTTATATACATATTTACATGTATTTATCAAACGTCATCTAACTTGAACAAATCTACATCTAGACCTAATTGCTATCTTTCAGATTCCAGCAGCTTAATTGGAATCCGTTTAACAAGATAAATAAATTGTAAGATAATAAAAAAAGAACATGCACTGATGAATTAGACGTAAGAAAACAAGAAGTCCGTTTAACCGTTTAATAAAATTTGCGCAGGTGGGAATGTCAACGAGAAGAGAGATATAAAATTGTCCTCCTAAAGAGTTCAGATAGGAAGGTGAGAAGTTTGATCTAAACTAAATAATTCTTTTTAAAAGTCAATTTGAGAACATTGAAGCTGCCAATGAGATGCAAAAACCGTAGAACTTGGCATTTGTGTGGCTTAGGCTTGGTTCAGTTCCCTTGCGTGGTTTGATCTGTATAGTAAAAGGGGCAAAGCCAGTAAAATAATGGAATAACAGACTGCATTAATAACTATGCTAAGGTTCTATCCTTTATACTAATGTGTTGTTTATGTGACGCTATATCTCGTTTATTGACTTTTCTCTTTTCTTTTCTTTTCTTTTCAGGTATGGTATAGCATTACATGAGTCTATCGGGCTGTTCAACACTAAACAATTACTTAAGCGCCTCTTAGTGATCCGTTGTCTCCGGTTATACCATCTAAGTTTAAATTCACTTCACATTTGAGTTTGTTTTGTCCAATCTCTATTTGACATACTTGATATATTTGACACATCCATAGCCAGGTTTCTCCCGCGATGGAGCAATATCTACCATGTTGGCTCTTTTTAATAAAATCCTTCAAAATAAAACTTTTGATTTTCTAGGTCACAATTTGATACGTTTGATGGTAACAGCCAATCAGAAGGCTACAAAGCATTGCAGGATCAGCTCAAATGGAAGAAACCAAGCAGCGGTCAATTTGGTTTAGTGTCATTACCCAACCCAATCGGTCTGATCATGCATTTGACCAGTGTGCTTCGTCGCTGTAACCATGTCTAAGTGTCTAATGACCAGTAGCTGAACCTTCGCAATGACATAACCTATTTGTGTTTGGTTAGGGTTTTTATCTTTTTTAAAATATAAAAATGTGAATTTTTATTTAAACCTGTGAACTGCGTCACAATTTGAGCACATTACCGGTCCGTGATAAGATTAATCTTTATGTCAGAGGAAAAATTATGGGATTAGCGGAGAAAGCTATGATTAAAAAATGTAGGATAGGCCTACTCATTATCGTATTCAGTATTTGAAATGAAGAGAAGTAGAAATTTTTGATAATGTTTAGACTACACTAAGAATATACTTGTGCTACGAACGTGATATTTCTCTGACAAAAATATATTGCTGACTTATTTTTCAAATGAAATTCGAAGCAGCAGAGCGCCATTATTTATCGGTGTTAGTCGCGGTGTCTTTGACATTGTCCTTACCTTGAGCGCTACA